GTCCCCCTCCCCCATTAACTCTCTCTTTCCAATCCAGCCCCCTCCCCAGGCCTTCCCCCACTATTGTCTGTCCATGGCCTATGCACGTATGCATATAAGTTCATTGGTTAATCTCTTCCCGCTGCCCCCTTCCCTCTGGAATACGTTGGACAACTCACTCTTATTTTGTTTGTTCTTTAAGATGTTTATCAGACCTGCAGTGACTGGAGAAGGGCTCACAGTCCCCATCGCTGCCCCAGCCACTCCACTCCTCGGATGTGGCTTCAGTTTAGGGCCCCACAGATGTAGTTGTTTTTTTAACTTATTTTTTTTTATTAAGGTATAAATTACATACAGTAACATTTATCCTTTTTAGCATACAGTTCAATGAGTTGTGACAAACTCATGACCATTTAACCATGGTCTCAATGAAGATACAGAACAATTCCTTCACCCAAAACATTTCCTTCTGTGGCTTTGTAGTTCGCCTTCCACCTTCCACCCCCCGCACCTGGCAGCCACTGACCTCTTCCTGCTGCTAGAGTTTTACCTTGTCCTGAGGGTCATGAATGTAATCCTGTAGTACAAGCATGTCACACCTGCCGGCCGCGAGTTTGACACGCTTGCTGTAGTGTGTAGCCTCCTGAGTCTGGCTTCTCTCACGTAGCACACACGGCATTCGTGGTCCCCCCATGCTGCTCCGTGTATTGGTAGTTTGATCAGTTGTCCATCCTTTTACTGCTGAGTAGTATTCCATTGTAGAAACGTAATGCTGTTGTTGATCCATTCACCAGCTTCTACAAACAGTTGTGTGCTGGTTTTGTGTGAACATAAATTTTCATTTCTCCTGTGTAAATAGTTGTGGGGCGGTGGGGGATCATGAGTAGTGTGATAATGTGTGTAACTTTATAAAAGACTATCAAAGTGTTTTCTAAAGTGGCTGTATCATTGCATATTCCTACCAGCAGTGTTTGAGAATTCCAGTTTCTCTGCATCCTTGCCAGCATTTGGTGTTGCTACTTTTTAAAAAAATAATTTTTAAAAAATATTTTTATTGATTTCATGGAGGAAGGGAGAGGACGAGAGAGATAGAAGTATCAATGATGAGAGAGAATCATTGATCAGCTGCCTCCTGCACACCCCCCCTGGGGATCAAGCCCGCAACCCGGGCATGTGCCCTTGGCCGGAATCGCATCCAGGACCTTTCAGAGTCCTCAGGCTGATGCTCTATCCACTGAGCCAAACCAGCTAGGGCTGGTGTTGCTGCTTTTTGCTGTCAGCTGTTCTGGTAGTGACACAGGGACTTGATAGCTGTCTTCAGTACTTGCAGGTCTGTTGTGTAGAAAAGGAATTGCAGTTGTACCTTGTGGGCCTTTGGGCAGAGCGAGGGTCAGTGGGGGAAATAGAGGGACAGCTTTGAACTCACGCAGAGAATCACTCTGTGGGGAAGGATTGGGTGGGCTTTGTGGGAAGGAAGGAGTGTGCTGCCTCACTGTGGAGGGTTCAAACAGTCTTGATGGCCATTGGGGGGATTCTGCTGACGATTTGGATGGGAGGACAGCATCATCTTCAAAATTCCTTTCAACCCTGAGATGCAAGTAAAAGGGGAATCTCTATTTTTAGTGACTGGGATGGAGTGGGTTTTCTGCAGTACTTGCTGTTATTTTGGAACTTCCTGGCTTAGCACATCTGGGGACTCTTCCTGAGGGCCCTGGGCCTCCTCTGTCCTCCGCCTTCCTTACTGCGAAGGACAGGGGCGCCCAGGCTGCTCCCCCCGCAACTCGCCCACATCAGGGAGCGGCTGTCTGATGGCTTCTCAGGCCTGGGTGGCCTCACTTTTGTGTGTGTCTTGTGTGCTCCAGCCTTGGGGCAGGAGAAGGGGCACAGGAGGCGCCCGTTAGGAGGCCGTGCAGCGCAGGGGGAGGCCCTGGCTCGGGAGTTAGAGCTGAGTTTTGCGCGGGGTCCGCCGCTTTCCTAGCTGCACTGTCTTTCTGGACGTCATTTTCTCACGGGGTGGTAACACCACATACCTGGGAGGGTGCGTGGGGACGAAGGAGGTCAGGATGGAGGGTTTCGCACAGAACCCAGCGCCAGGCTGTGGTGGGCAAACGTCAGCGCTCACTTCATCGTCTGCGTGATCCGCTGCCCAGACCCTCACCCTGCTGGAGCCGGACCGGAGGCCGTGGTGATGCATGGTGACGGCAATGCATGGTGACAGCACTGATGGTCCCGCTTTCTCCTGCTGCTTCTCTCCAGCTTCTGCGGAAGCCAAGGGGCGCACCTTCTGTCGCTTCTTGTGTGACTTGGGGTGAAAATCCTTTCTCTCCCTGGAGGCAGGTCTCTGCACCTGGTGGTTTTCAGTTCCCGAACTCGAGATGTGATGCTTCTCGATACTTCGTGCACTTGGGCGTAGCACCGAGCGGCCGTTCTCAAAGCATGGCCAGCGTCCCCGAGGTCTCCTCAGGGGCCAGTGAGGTCAAAACCATTTCACAACGACACTTAGGTGTCACTTGCTTTTCCACTGTCACACACACTTGCTGTGGGTGGGGTTTCTGAAGTCCGTCCTGGTGTGCCATCCTGCACGGACGCGGGGACGCGAGGCAAGTCAGGCACCAAACGCATAAAGATGCCCAGCAGTGCTGCTCTTCTCACTGCATGTTTTGTTTTGTAATTGAAAGGGTAGTTAATTTTTAATTTAAAAAATCTTACGTAGATATGTAGTAGGTGTTTGCTTATTTTAAAACTAGATTTTAAGATTTCCGTGGTTTTAATTTCTAATCTGGTAGATAGTGTTAGATAGATGTAGCCCATAGAAGCAGAAGCTCTTTGCAGTCCTTAGTCATTTTTAAGAGTAGAGAGAGGTCCTGACATCCAAAAGTTGGGGAACTTTCAGGTTAAGGCCTTGGCTCTGGGGACAGTGCTGTCGTCTGCCGGCTCAGCGACTTGGGCACGTTGCTTAGCCTTGACCAGGTTGGGTGTCCTGATCTGTAAGGTGGGAGTGACAGCAGTATTTTCCTTACGGGGATTGGCTGGGATGATGTATGGAAAGCATTTCAGAAACTGCCGGGCACGAAGTAAGTGCTACTCATGGTTGCCATTGGGGAGGCAGGGAGGCGTGGTGGCAGAGTGTGCGTGCCGAATCTATTTGAATTGGTGAACTAACCTTGCTGGTCCTCGGTTTTCTCACCTGTAAAATGGGGTGACAATATTAGTACCCACCTCGGGCTGTTGGGGAGCTGGAGTTCATGTCTGGGACATTTGTGTTGTCTGCGCTGTGTTAACTCCCCCCTTTCCGGGTGCGCTCTGAGCCTCTGCATCCCACTCGCTTAGGTTGGTCAGTCTCCCACAGGTGGTTTTCCCGGAGTTCAGAGGGTGACTCATAGGCATCTCCCGGAGGGGCTCCGACACATGTCCAGAGGAAGCCCCACTCGGGAGACCCTCATAAGTTATGCAAATCAGAGGACAGTGAAGACCTGGCCCTGGGCTCTCCTCATAAAAGTGACTTCATTTGCCAGAGAGCAAGGACTTATGCAGCCCACACACAGCTGCAATGAGCCTTTTCCCGAAACTCCGGGGCAGGGGTGAGGGTGCAGGGTGTTCGGGGGAAGGTGTGGGAAAGCGTCTGGAGCAGAACCATGCGGGGAGGAGGAGGGGAAGAAGGGCTGGTCTGGGCTCCACTTTAGAGAACATTCTGACCCCAGAGTTCTGGCCTGGAGCACAGGAGTCCTGGGGGGCAGGGTGTGGTGGTTTTAAAATAACATGCACTTCGGGGGGTACTAGATTTAGGTGGTTGGGATACCAGTGTTGGGAACCTGAGCTGAGCGTGAGGCTCCTACCTCAGACCAGGGTATGGCTTGTCACCACAGTGTGGAGCTCCCCATCCTCCCTGGCACTCCTGGGAAATGCAGGCCACACCCGGGTGCCCCTCTTTTGTCTTGGTGGGGGCACTTGGTTTTTGTGAGCAGCCAGCCAACAAGGGTCATGGGGGTGTGGGGGGTCATGATGGCAGAGTCAGAGACATGCATGTGCCCTTCGCACATTCTAGAGCTCCTGGGTGAGTCAGCCTCCTGGGTCCCGTCCATGAAATGGGAAGGCTGCTCTGAGTTCCTGACCCTGAGTTCCTGGCTCCCTGAGGGTCGAGGGCGTCTCAGGTGAACATACGGACAGAGTTAAATATAAAGCAGCATGGACTCATCTCCTTCCCGGACATTTGGGTGAGGGCTGTCCTGTTAGAAAAGGATTTGGGTCTTGTCAGAGGTGCTGGCAGTGGCCGCTGCTCCTAGTAATAGCAGGAGGCACGGGGTTCCCTTCAGGACGCTTCCGTCCTGGCACAGGTGCTGAGGGCCCGATGTGGGCTGGGCCCCCAGAGCCCCACGACTTACCTGCATCACGTCCCACTTAACCGTGGGCAGCTCTCCCTGACAGCCCCTCCAAGCCCGCACACCTGGGCTGTTCGGGCAGGTCCTTCAGGCAGTTGGATGGCTCAGAAAAGGGAGCTGTACGAAGTGTCCCGCCCTAGTCAGGGGAGGATGGGGACCCGGCCCTTGGGCCCAGCTTTGGAGCCAGTCACCTTGGTCCTCGGAGCTTCACTGGGTTCCAGCTGGACCTTCCTCCTCAGGCCATGGCTTCTGTTCTGCTCGGGGCTCAGATGGGCCTCTCCATGCCCAGGGGTGGGTGACAGTTATCGTTTCCAGACTAGGCGAGGATGCGAGGATTAGGGCCGAAACAGTTGATCCTGGAGGTGTCATGGCGCATTGGGAAGGGTGGAGGTTCTCGGGGTGCTCAGCCAGGGCCAGGAGAGCGGGCGGGTGAGTGCTGGGAGGCTTGGGGACCGTCTGGGCCTAGTCTTTGTTTCATCTCTTACTCTCTGACATGTGTTGTCATCTCTGAAGGGCGATGCTCACAGGATACACTGGCAGGGCCGTTGGGCGTGAAAAATGCAGCCAAAAGTCAGAACAGAGCTTGGCATCTGGTGACTTTCCCTAAATGCCCAGTTCTCTTTATTATTTCCCTCCTGCCAGGAACCACCGGGAAGGCACCGTCCCCCCCGCCCCTCCTCACCGACCGCCAAGTGAATGAGAAGGTGGAGAACCTCTCCATTCAGCTGCGGCTGATGACCCGGGAGAGGAACGAACTGCGGAAGCGCCTGGCCTTCGCCACTCACGGGACGACCTTTGACAAGAGGTAGAGAGCAGCCAGCTCCCCTGCCCAACACTCACCAACCTGGTACCATCACCATCCCCTCCCCGCCAGGGGGTCCTCAGCTCCAGGGGGAAGGGGCACAGGCTTGTTCTGCTTCTTCCAAATGGAAATTGAAGCCCATGGCCTGAATCGCACAACTTGAGGATTGAAAGATGTGGGTGTGTCTATCATACATTTGGCCCCTGACTGTGGTGTCCTGTGTGTGTGTGTGTGTGTGTGTGTGTGTGTGTGTGTCCGTCCATGTGCCACTGTCTCCCAGAAGACCCCAGTCTACCTCCTATTGGATGGATCTTTATGTGGCATGCAAACACATTCATTGTACCCTGACATATATGTGTATTAGGAAGAATATATCCCACATGGCTTCTTTGTTTTGAAGAAAATCTTTCATTGCTCCTGTTGCCAGGAAAGGGCAGTCCAAGGATTGGAGCAGAGGGAGAGGCCTTACACACCTGCATGATCAGGGGGGCTTCATGGAGGAGGAGGAGGGATGCAGACTGGTTTATCCTTCCAGGAGATGCTGGAGGGGTCCTTGGTGTTTTAGCTTCTTCCCTTTAAGAGCATCAGAGTGTGTGCCTTGTTCTGAGGAAGATTCCTCTTGGGGGAATGTCGGGCTACAAGCGGCTCCTTGAGGTTGCGCTGATGGGGACATGCCCCAATCAGATGGCACAAAGGCAGGGCAGTGAGGACACGGTGCGCCAGCGTGCATGTGTCCATGGCTACTTTCATGCTACCGAGGCAGAGTGTGTGGTTCCACAGCAGCCATGTGGCCAGCAAAGTCTAGAGCAGCCGTTTGAAATGAATAAAGCTAAAAAAAAAAAAAGACTGTACCCTTTTATGTAATGATGTTTACTTTGAATTTATATTAGTTCACACAAACACTCCATCCATGCTTTTGTTCCGGCCCTCCGGTCCAGTTTAAGAACCCATTGTGGCCCTCGAGTCAAAAAGTTTGCCCACCCCTGGTCTAGAGTGTGGTTCTTTACAGAAAAGGGTTGCTGATGTCTGCTCTAGGGCAGGGGTTCTCCAACTCGAGTAAGCCCTGCAATCCCGGAGGCCTTACTGTTGAAGCACAGATTGCTAGTTAGCCTCCCCTCCCTAATGTCTGATCCAGGAGGTCTGAGGCTGGCCTGACAATTTGCATTTCTAACAAGTTCCCAGGTTATCAATGCTGCAGGAACAGGAACCTCACTTTGAGAACCACTGCACCCTGCCAGTTTTCTCAGCTTTGGCTGCACGTTGGAATCCATTGGAAAGTTAAAAAAAAAAAATTCTGATGTCTGATTCCCATCCCAAGGTGCTGATATAGTTGGCCTGGGATTTTAATGTATACCCAAGATTGAGAATCACTGGTCTAAAGAGAGAAGAAACCTCATCATAGGTTTCTGGTGGACCCACTGTGTGCATAGGCCTGTCACAAGGTCTCCCAGAAGCTCCTAGATCAGTGGTTCTCAACCTTCTGGCCCTTTAAATACAGTTCCTCATGTTGTGACCCAACCATAAAATTATTTTCGTTTCTACTTCATAACTGTAATGTTGCTCCTGTTATGAATCGTACTGTAAATATCTGATATGCAAGATGGTCTTAGGCGACCCCTGTGAAAGGGTCGTTCGACCGCCAAAGGGGTTGTGACCCACAGGTTGAGAACTACTGTCCTAGATGGTCCATTCTCAGCTCTTCAGGCCCATGCAGGGCGCTCAGGCAGCTGAGGGCCCCTCCATCCTGGGGATTCTCATTCTGTTGCCTGTGTGCAGCCGGGGCATCTGAGCTTGACACGCATCCTGGTGGTTGTGGAGCGTAGGAGACTTGGTATTTAGGAACCACTGGGCTGGGGTGACCTAGGACATGGCTTCCGGGGGAAGAGACATTCCTTGTCAGTGTGTTCACGGTGCCGTTTGCTGTCTGGGCCAGGCCCTACCACAGGCTGAACCCTGACTACGAGAGGCTGAAGATCCAGTGTGTGCGGGCCATGTCGGACCTGCAGAGTCTGCAGAACCAGCACACCAATGCCTTGAAGAGGTGTGAGGAGGTGGCCAAGGAGACCGACTTCTACCAGTGAGTGGGGCCTGCCTGGCAAGGGCTCTGGCATCCACGAATGGCTGCCTCTTACCCTTCCTCATTTCTGGACTTGGAGCCAGGCCTCCTGGTTCTAGTCCTGCCTCTTCCATGAGGCCAGCAGTGTGCCTTCAGCAAGTGGGTTTGTGCCTCAGTTTCCCCAAGCACAGAGTGAGGCTTTTAACCTTTCATACCATCTATTGCAGCCTCAGAAGCAGGGTAGGTCAGCAGTCACGGAGAATGGGAGATAGGGGGCCGGGCAGATCCCTGGGATTCTGGGTCGCTGTCCAGGGCTTTGCTGCGGCTTCTGCCGCAGGAGAGGCAGATGCAGCATGCTCCCCTCTGGTCTCCTGGTGCCCCTCTGAGGGTACTTGCCTGCCCACCTGCTGATACTTGCTCAGCCCCAGGTACCTCAGTACGTGGTGGTGCCAGGTCTGTCCCAGGTAGCCCCCTTGTCTGTGCACCCTTGTTGGTGTCAGGTTTTTAACAAGTGGTCTGGGTCCTTCTGGCGTCTGGCTGACAGCAGGCTTTTGCCCACCCCTGAACGCTGGGCACCCAGCTTCTGTGGTTCCCGGCTGGTGTATTAGTGGATGGGGCCCGGGAGGGGCTGGTGATGCCTGGGGTGGGGGTGGAGGCTGTCTGGGGCTCACTGTGGGGGGGTTTCAGCACACTCCACAGCCGACTCCTGAGCGACCAGACCCAGCTGAAGGACGACGTGGACACGCTGCGGCGGGAGAACGGGCAGCTGCTGCGGGAGCGGAACCTGCTGCAGCAGTCCTGGGAGGACATGAAGCGGCTCCACGAGGAGGACCAGAAGGAGATTGGCGACCTCCGGGCCCAGCAGCAGCAGGTAGAGAGGGCCGGGTGCTGGGTGCTGGGTGCTGGGTGCAGGTCCAGGTCGCTCACCACCTACCCCTCCAGCCACTCATCCATCCACCCCCCTGATAATTTAGCAAGTATGTCTGGAGGGTTCGCCTCATGTGAAGCCCTGGGATCTGTGAGCAAACACTCAGGCCTTGCTCTCTGGACTCTGCAGTCCCCTGGAGGAGACACATGTTACTAAAATAATCCCAGGTACCCTTGCATCATTACGAATGTTGCAAGGGTTACCAAGAAGGAGGTGCTATGCAGTGTGTACAGGGAATTAGACTTACTCTGGGGCTGGGGGCTGGGGGGCTGTAGCTTCTTTCCTTTGTACGGATCCCATGAGATTGCAGTTGGAGAAGCTCGGAAACTTTAGAGCCCTGTGCAAACGAGATGGAGTGCTTATCATTGTTATTTTGGTGGGCGTGTGGCCTGTTGCTCTTGCTGCTCTCGGCATTACAAGTTAGTGTCTTTGCTTTGCTCAGCTCGTGTTTCGTGTGGACAAAGGCATGAGGGGCAGGCCAGTCAGAGCCTGGCTTGCTGTGAGTGATGGTGGCCCCTTCTCCTCTCGGAACTGCCCGGCTGTCCAGGGACACGGCAGGGCTGGTGGCATGTGCTGTGTCCACAGATGGTTGACCGTGAGGGGTCGGAAGGCAAGCCCAGGAGGAGGCAGAGTGTTGTCCGAGTGCTGCAGCCTGGGTCTGATTAGGTAGAGAGGCCTGTCCCCATTAGAATCATTTATGGTTCCCTGAGACAAAGCAGGACTGCTGGGCTTGCTCAGCACAGTTTGGCACAACCTGAATTATCTTCTTTGCTTTTTCATTTTTTTTTTTTATATTTTATTGATTTCTTACAGAGAGGAAGGGAGAGGGATAGAGAGTTAGAAACATCGATGAGAGAGAAACATTGATCAGCTGCCTCCTGCACATCTCCCACTGGGGATGTGTCCGCAACCCAGGTACATGCCCTTGACCAGAATCGAACCTGGGACCTTTCAGTCCGCAGGCCGACGCTCTATCCACTGAGCCAAACCGGTTTCGGCTGCTTTTTCATTTGTAATTAAACATTTTAAAATTGTGAAACTTTTACCAACTTACAGAAGAGTTTTAAGTACAGTGCAGAGAATTTTTCCCCTTATCATTCAAGAGTAAGTTGCCAACCTGATGCCCCATCAGCCCTGAACGCGCTAACGTGTACTTTTGACAAGCAAGGATGTTCCATACAACAGCCACATAGGCCCCATCGGGAAGGTAGCGTACATACTACCACCCGGTCAGCAGACCCCTTCGCGGTTTGCTCATTCTCTCAATAGTGTCTGTAACAGGAAAAGGACCCTGTTCAGAATAAAGCATTGCGTCCATTCCCCACGTCTCTTCGGTCTTTTTAAATTGGGAACAGTTCCTTGACTTTGACCTGCATGACCTTGATGCTTGGGAAGATTATAAGCCAGTTGGTTATTCTGTAGGCTGTCCCTCCACCTGGATTTTGGCGGTCCTCACTTTTTGATACCCTTTGAGCATCTTAGGCAGGACTGTCATGATCGTGATGCTGCCTTCTCTTTGTATCCTACTGATTGGGACTTTGCTTGATGGGCCTGTTACTGATGGTGTTCACTTCGGTCACGTGACTAAGGTGGTGTCCCCTGGCTTCTCTCCTGTGAAGTTACTTGTTTTCTTTTTGTCTACTTACCTACCTACCTATTGACTCGTGGTTGGTGCTTTATTCAGCGGGTTATCGTCCACTGTGGCCAGCAGGAGCCCCTCAGGGTTACTTCTCCGTCATTTTGTCATGTCCTCCTCACTCTGAGTGCTTCCTTGCTCCCTGGCATAAGGTGTTCCAAGCCCATTTTATAATTTCCCTGCCCTTGTCCTGGAAAATCAGCCATTTCTTCAAAGAGTCTTCATTCCTTTTAGTTGAGAATGGTATTTAGCAGCAAGATCCGAATGCTGGGTGTATTCATAGCTACTGCGGTATCACTGCTCCCAGGGCCTCTCAGTGGACAGAGTAGGGAATGTCTGTGGACACCCCTGCACCCCCACACTCACACCTCTTTCTATCCCTTATGTGTCTATATCTTCAATAGGTAACATATATGTGGAAACAGGAGTTCACACTAACACTTTCAGTTCCAGTCCAATACTACAACACCACAGGGCTCATTCTTTTACTCTTCCCATTTGTTGTAATTCACTTTTACAGCAGTGTGAAACTGGTTCCTGTTACTGTGTGGGGATTTTGTTGTTGTTGTTGTTGTTTTATTTTTTTGTTAATCCTCACCTGAGGATATTTTTTCCATTGATTTTTAGAGAGAGTAAAAGAGAGAGAGAGAGAGAGGAGAGAGAGAAACATCGATGGGAGAGAGACATTAATGTGAGTTGCCTCCCACGGGTACCCTGATTGGGGCTGGGGATCGAACCTGCAACCCTGGTCAGGTATGTGCCCTTGAATCAAACTTGTGACCCATCAGTGTGCAGGCCGACACTCTAATCACTTAGCATCACTGGCCACGGCTGGTTCCTGTTGTTCTTAATCTGTCACTTGGTCAGCCCCACTGTGTACCCTCATCCCATCTCCTCTCTAGCTCCCTTCCCACTCGTTCCCTTCTTACCCTTTTGGGCTCCCATGTTCTGTGCATTCCCTCCCCCGGCCTCACCTGTGCAGGTCCCTCCTCATCCTGTGCCGGCTCTGATGCCCACTCGGCTCCACAAGAGCCACACACCGACTAGAGCTCCAGGTCCTGCTCGGCCTCACTCATGGCTGTCAGGTCAAAAGGTCAAATTGTTCAAAAAGGGGAAGGGCAGGACTTTCTTTTCATTTTTATACTACTTTTTTAATTGCAAAATTAATATGCATTTTACTAATAAAAGCATCGAACAATACAGGCGTTTTAAAAATAAAAGGTAGAATTCCTCCGTTGTCTGACTCCCAAGAACTAACTACTTTGAGCACTGCCAGTGGGAAGTTTGAGGTTTTTATGCGTGCACAGAACCCTGGTATCTTGTCAGGTTAATTCACACACTGGCACCATGCGTCTGTTATGCTGTGGCATTTTTCTTGCTGAATATATAGCGTGTGCACCGTCCTACTTCAGGACAAAGCCCACGTCCCAGTTTGTCGTGGCTGCAGATCATTGAGTCACAGAGACGCACTGTGATTGCTTCAACCAGGCCCCTTGCTGCCGGACTCCTGGGCTGTTCTCGGGATTTTCCCATTTAAACTGTTGAAGAACTGGCTTCTGTGGTTGGCTTTCTTTCTGTGATCTTTGTTGAAGTCTTAGTGGAGTTCCCAGTGCAGGCTCAGGGAGGGGCCCGAGGCGATGTACGGGGGCTTATCCCATGTCTTCGTGAGCCCTCTGATCAGGGGACTTGGTCCTGGGCGGGAGTTGGTAGCCCTGATGGAGCCTTCACTGCTGCCCCCCCCCCCCCCCCCACACACAGACTCCACTGCCTGCCTCTTTCCTTCTGTCCCTCTAACAGTTCCAGGATCAGGACCGGGGTGGGCGGTGCTGGGGGAGCACTGCTTTAGGGACGAAGGGGGGCACAAGGAGAAAGTGCGGTGCCAGCCCATGGTTAGTGCCGTGCTGAGTGCATTGAATTTCCCTGCGTGTCCACGGAGCTTCCTAGAGCAAAGGCTTAAGACGGTGCGTTTTCAGTTGTTCAGAGGCAAACCATTTTACCCCAACGGGAGTCCTCTGCAGAAACCCGTGCGTGAGGCGGGTCAGGATGACGGCTGTGGGAGTCAGGCACAGGGCCAGTCACAGATCAAGTCCATGTATGATATGAGTCCATTCGCAGGAAGTGTCCGGAACAGGGAAATCTGTGGAGACAGAGTGTCTGCTAAGGGGACGGTTTCTCTTTGGGGTGATGAAATGTTCTGGAATTAGATAGTGGTAGTTGCTGCACAACTTTGTGACTGTCCCCAAAACCACTGAATTGGGCACTTACAGGGGGAATTGTGTGGTATGTGAATTATATCTTAAAAAGACTCCAGTTATCACCTTGTCATAAAAAAAAAAAAAAAGAAAGAAATCAGCCCTCATGAGGCAAAAATGTCCTTGCCTCCCGATCCCTGTTTTCCCTCAGGCCTTTGATGGCTGTGCAGGCAGCCAGCCTGAGATGAGCACACACTCTGCCCCCCCCCCCCCCCCTCATAGTTTTTCAAAAAAAGGGAAGGAAAAGGTCCCCCCACCCCTCCTCAATCCCTGTTCTCCTTCCTTTTCCCACAGCTGTGACCCTGGGAGGGGTAGTTTATTATAGTGGTCAGTGAGTTTCCCCAGTTCCGTTCAGCGGGACTGGTGCCCTTCCATGAGCCCCCACGGACCCCCACCGAGACAGGAGGCACCGCTGGGGGTAGATCTCCGAGCTGCGGGCCCCCTGCTGACCCCGGCCTGGGCCTTCTCACCTGGACCAGGTCCGGGTAGGTGCCTGGCTGAGCAAAGCTCCCGGCCCTGGTAGGTCAGCAGCGGAGGAAGCAGGGAACAGGGGAGGCCCAGGTTTCCTCCCCACGGCCTGGGGGCAAAGGTTGCCCTTGCTGGACAAGGCCGGTTTTGTTGCCTGGTTCCTCCCACGCCTTGTTCACTTGAAGAGGCCCTTGCGGGGTAAATGGTGCTGTTTGACTTGCTTGTTTGCTTGAGGGATTTGTGGGGCTCCCAGCCCTCTTCATGATTTATCTCCGAGGAAATGAGGCAGCCCCGGGTGGGGGGGGGTCGGGGGGGGGTGCAGCGCCACAGGCAGGGGCCTGGGCCCCTCTTCCCACTTGAGAGCAGCAGTCAGGTGGTGTGTGTGTGTGTGTGTGTGTGTGTGTGTGTGTGTGTGCGC